GGGGGGTGTCAACTCGGGAGATGACAAACAAACCCATTCTGCCCCATTATTTTCTTAATGAGGCAGAGGGGTCGGGAGGGAGTCAATTTGGGAAACGACAAACAAACCCATTTTGCCCCATTTGCATTTTTTTTTTGTTATGAGCGAGGGGACGGATGTCAAGTCGGGAAACGACAAACAAACCCATTTTGCCCCATTTTTTCTTAATGAGTGCGAGCGGGGGGGGGAGGCAATGCGGGAGATGACAAACAAACCCATTTTAGCCAATTATTTTCTTAATGAGCGAGAGAGGTTGCAGAGGGGGGGGTGCCAATGCGGGAAATTGCTCAAAAACCCATTCTGCTCTTTCTGTTGAATTTTGAAATCGATAATTTTTGGTTTCATGGGGGGCTGTCAACTCGGAAAATGATAAACAAACCCATTTTGCCCCACGGTTTTCATAATCAGGGGAAGGGGGGGGGTCAATTTGGGAAATAGGTAACAGGCCCATTTTGCCCCATTTGTATTTTTTTCGATTTAGAAAATGACTGACAAACCCATTCTGTCCTATTTATTTTTTTTCTGTCAAAGTTTAGGGGTGGAGGGAGTTGATCCCGGCAATGAAAACCAAACCCATTCTGCCCCATTTTGTTCCTAATGTGTGACAGTGAGGAGGGGGGAAACGTCAATTTGAGAATGGCTTAGAAACCCATTTTGTCCCATTTTTTAAAATTCCGCAATACGTCATTGTGGGTTGTGGGGGCAGAGGGGGGGGATGTCGCTGTGAAAATGACTAACAAACCCATTTTGCCCCATTAAAAATTCAATTGATCGATTCGAAAGCAAATTGCTAATTCATTAGAAAAAAGAACTATACTAAATCTACACCTCTGCAATTATCCACTTGTTTGACCCTTGTAATAACCCAAGATGGCGGACGCCGTCACAAAAACGGTCTCTAGGGGTGTGTTTAGATCGATTCAGAATTCAATTCTGAGTCGATCTGTACCTATAACTTTCGATCCCATTTTTGACCCTTGTAATAACCCTTTCCAAGATGGCGGACGC